GAGCTGACGGCGGCAATCAGTAGCTGGGCAATCTCCGCGTCAAGTTGCACCTGGTACTGATCCACCTTTCTCTCCCAGAAGTTCTCGGGAGCCTGAGGATCCGACGAACGTTGTCCCGTGAAAGTGCATTGTTGCCTTCCCGTCATCGGCGTGCTATCAGCGTGCTGGATGTAAATGATCTCCCACTCCATCGCTTCACTCATCACCTCCCAGTTATTGAAGTTGAGTGTCATGTATTCCATAAATGAAGCCATCTTACTGGCGGTGGTGTTGTGAGTATCTTGCCTTGTCACCTGCAGCCCGATAAACGTAATTACCCTCTCGGCGCTGCTCTGGCCACCGGTGGGAGTGTCGCTGGCCTGCCCGGATTCCTTCTTGGCAGCTGCCGCCCGCTGCACCTCGGCCACGTAAAACGCGTCCAGCACGGGGAAAAGGCGTGTGTCAGGGATATACAGAACACCGGGTTCAAGTTCACGCCTCGGTACTGTGGTGTTCCGAGCTCCTACCTTCTTGTACTCGAACAAGCGGGGCCTGCTTGGAAAGCGACCTCGTGCGTGTCCGTCCGCCAACACGCTGGCCCGCCTTCGTATCTCAGGGCGGGGAAGGTACTTCATCTTGCGGGCAACCGCCCTGGCGACGCCGCCGATCAAAAACGCCAAGCAGCCCAAGTGCTCGAGATCGGCAGCGGCATTTATGCTGCACGTCCCCAGTGCGGACAGCAAAGCTGACATCTGAAAGTTCTCCTTTAGCACGAGCCACCGCAAAGTTTTTTCGACCTCAATTGCAACAGGAACATTTCTGGAGCTTTCCGACACCCTCCTCCTTGCCGCCGCCGCCGCCGCTGCCGCCGCCAACACCGCCGCTCTGTTTTTGTTGCCGTCAACCCACAGCACACGCACAAGCTTGATCAGTTTGTGCGTGGTCCCGACATCACGCCACTCAACCTTGGCAAATAAACACTTCGCGAAGTACTTCCAGTCTGCGTCGGTCCTACCGGACAACGCAGCCTGAATTGCATCCCGCGTTCGTTAAAGTAAGACTCATTGAAAAC